TAATCATATCTGACAAGATGAAAATGAAGTTTCAAATACATTGAGAGAATACATGCATAAAAACGCATACATGCAAGTACACACACACGCACATGCGCACACACACACAAAATCACACATACGCACACACATACACATATATACATATATATATATATATATATATATATATATATATATATATATATATATATAAAAATGAGGATATAGGAATGGCGACCATGTAGAAATGATTTTCTATGTATCGAAACAGGATTTACTGTGTCGCGATGGAAAAATATTTTCTTTTAAAAATTAATTATAATATTATGATTTACGGATCGTGCTGAGCACTGTTTTTAAAAATAAAATAAAATCTAATGACTCAGAATTATCAATGTCTTTTACTTTTTTTTTATTATTATTATTATTATATATATATATATATATATATATATATATATATATGTTATTATTTTTTTAAATAATATAATTAAAAAAAATATTATTTAGGCTCTACTTTTGTATTGAGCACTACTATTTTTAAAAATAAAATAAAATCTAATGACTCAGAATTATCAATGTCACTTTATTTTTTTATTATTATTATTATTATTATATATATATATATATATATATATATAATTATTTTTTTAAATAATATAATTAAACAAAAATATTATTTAGGCTCTACTTTTGTATTGAGCACTGCTTTTTAAAAATAAAAAAAAAATGCTAAAGAACTAAAAGATTATTTACCTAACGTGTTCTTTCCTATCTTTACATATATTTGCACACACACACACACACACACACACACACACACACACACACACACACACACACACACACAACAAATATATATATATATATATATATAACGTCAAAAAACGACATTATTACGTCAATATTTTTGCACCAACCTAATATATATATATACTGTATTGGGGTAGCATATCACTAATCAAAGATATATTGCTCAATATAACAGACAGCAATGTCTATTACGAGTCTATCAGAATCGTTCCAAGCTTCGTAGTGTGCTTTAGCTTCGAGAAAGAATAAAGACAAAATCTGTCCAAAATTAAGATATTTTTTATTATGCTGTTCCGCGATGTAAGCTTAAGAAAAAATGAAAAAGTTACTTCCCGTATACTGGGAAAAAAATGTAAAATCACATGAACTTTGTAATCTAGAACGCTGCATAATCAGAAGACCCAACAGTTGAAATATTCTGTATTCTGAAATAGAGATTCACAGACGAATTAACCCTCTCAGGATCGTCTCAGATCAGATTGAAAGTATATGGGAAAATGAAAAAATATTTGAAAAATTTTGCTATCATTCATAAATAATTGTCTAAGTTTACGAAGAAATTACTCCATGAACTTGAAAGGATCACAACAAAAATAATTCGCCATGATATTGTCTAAATTATTTAACCAAACCTGTTTGTATAATGAACTATTGTAATTTTAAATATTCCTTTAATATGTTCTCGACAAATATATTTATTACAATAGTATTTAACTTGTACTAAATCCCTAAACTATTTACTTAAACAAATTAAATACTTAAATTAATATCTTCCAATTTTTTAGACACCTAATTTTCTATCAAACATTGTAATCTATCTTTTACATAATTTTGTTAAAACAAAATTACAGCTTCTATTCGATTCACTTCTAATCTCCCTTCCCTCTTTACCATAAAACTTTTTGACTCAGATCAGTTTTTCCATATTTTTTCTTTTTTTCCTTTTACTTTATTTCCTTTCCTCACTATTCCTATATATATATTTCCTTTTTTTTTTACAACATAAATAGGTCAAGGTTAGGTCCTCCTCCAACCCCAATTTAAAGCTTATTTAAGAGATGTAAATTTAACCTCCCTATATTTTTGTATGTGTCTTTTTTAATTTATTTGCCACCTTATACCTCCCTGTTAAATTAAAAAAAATCACATTTTTCCTCACATTTCATTGTTGGAAGAGTTACCTGATGATCCGAAATCCTTTAAAAGGATTTTGGTGAAATAAATTAATATAATGGTACCTTAAAGTGTCTTCTTTTTTTCATCAAATATATATATATATATATATATATATATATATATATATATATATATATAAAACTTACAAATATATTTTAAATTGTGTACATGTACGAATGAAACAAAAAATATATTAATTAAGCTTATTAGAAGTGCCTTGTAAGTTGTCTTCCATAAACATGTAGAAAAATCGGGATTGCTGCAAAAAAATTATATATATATATATATATATATATATATATATATATATATATATATATATATAGTGTGAAATGACACCTCCCTATAATTTAGGAAATTTCAAGAGGTAGATTTACCTTTTGAGAGTTTTGAGGTGATAGTCTTCTTTTCTGCATCACTAAAATGATTTTATGGCCCATCTTTTCACTAAATTCTTACTTTTCTTATAATTTGAAACGCTCAAATCACCGTGCTGATAACAAATATGGCGCCCGTTTGTTTACATTGCAAATCAATAAGAAAAATTTCAGTGATTGAGCAGGTCAATATTTAACATTATGTGAATTGATAAAACGGTTTTGAAAATATAAGAAAAAAGTTATCTCTTTAATTTTTGGCACGCAGTGAAAATATATATATATATATATATATATATATATATATATATATATATATATATAAAATATAGTTTTTTTGTTTTATTTATTGAATACAGAAAACTGATATACAATCACACAACATATAATATATATATATATATATATATATATATATATATATATGAATATATATACGTTATATATATATATATATATATATATATATATATATAACAAATATATATAACATTAAATTTTGATCCTTATATATATAGTATATATATATATATATATATATATATATATATATATATATATATATATATATAGCATCATCCAGCCTGATAAAAATATCAAGATTATCAAATATGAATACGGCCACAATGTACTGACTGTGTTTGGGAAATAATAAAACATTCAAATAACTTCAGATACATATAAAAATTATAGATATACACATACATGTAAAATGACTTATAGATTAGAGGAAAGATCTGTGATATATTAGAACATTCGGCCAGTTATATGCACTTTATGCCCAGAAAAGAAAACATTTATAAGGACGCAAGATAAATTGAATAAAAAACTTACTAACAGTACCTTGTCACTTGTCTTTAATATAACTTGTATAAAAGAAAGATTGCCGCCCTATGCACAATAATATATATATATATATATATATAGATAGATAGATAGATAGATAGATAATATTAGTGGTAAATATACACATACATATGCAATATATATATATATATATATATATATATAGGTGCATACACATACATGTATATTTTTTA